AGGGTTTGCGACATTCAAACTCCCGACCCTGCAGGCCAAGGCCATTAAATGTTAGTTACAGGGATTCTGCGCCGGTCGAGATCCCTCTGGATAATGGGGTCTCCTATGCCGGTCAGAGACTACCAAGGCCATACAATCGGCCCGTGTCGGACTGAGAGCCGCTCTTCATTGAAAAATGGAAGCCGTTCTCTACTTTGGGGTGAGCCCAGTACGGGCCCGTATTTTCTGAGTCAGCAAACGTTATATATATATATATATATATATATATATATATATATATATATATATATATATCCTTGGCCTCTGTAAGAAGTCCAATATATAATAATAATTCTTATATAATAATACATATAATAATAATCCTTAAATAATCCTTGGACTCTGTAAGAAGACATCTTCAGGGCCAGTCATTTTTAACTAGACGCGTGGGGGCTGAGACTGTCTGCTCCACACCAACCTCGTCTCTTAGAATGGATTTGAGCCCACTGATGTGAAGGCTCCTGACCTCCTGAAAGGACCTCCTGATCCAGAACAGGGGCATACCGATTTTTAAACAAAGGGTGCCTCCTATTCCGGTGCAGGAGCCCTCCGACTTCCGATGTACATATATATATATATATATATATATATATATATATATATATATATATATATATATATATATATATATATAGTGGTGTGTGTGTGTGTGTGGTGTGTGTGTGTGTGTGTGTGTGTGTGTGGTGTGTGTGGTGTGTGTGTGTGTGTGTGTGTGTGTGTGTGTGTTTGCATGACTACCTTAAGAACATCCAGTGCGCGGAGAGAATAAAAAATTCCTCCCGTTACTTGGATGCGTGAAAAATCTGAAAAGGCTTGTTTGAAGTTTGAATTGTCTAGACTAGATTTAGAAGTTTGTTCCTATTGGCATGCTTATTGATTATCTATGCATGCCTATACAGATGCATATATGCATCAATGTATGCATGTATGTATGTGTGTATGCATGCGTGTGTATGGATGGATGCATGCATGCATGCATACATGTATCTATGTATTTATATATCTATGTATCCATGTATCTGTTCACATGTCTATTTATCCTCCATGTATCTATAGAATACGACACCGGGTCTGCCGTTGTCTCCCACCTCAGTCTACCGCTGTTGGAGAAGCATCATCAAAGGCATAATCGAATGACCCCCCATCCCATGTCCAATTCCCCCTCCCCCAACGCTGGGGCTGGCCCCCCAACTTTTGGCGCCGTAGCAAAGTAGGTCATGAATAATGAGGGGCCAACATCATACCATTGGAAAAGAGGTTTGTAGCCAATTTTTTACAGGTAAAGGATTAATGGAAATGAAAATTGCAATGTCGTTTCAGTTGTTAATTTCCTACTTTTTCGACATGATGCATAACTTCAGTTACACGATTAATGCGTCTTGCTGACTTTGGTCTACTTTTGTGCTGCTGTCTGTTTTTTTTTTTTGCATTAATCGGCGATGTTTCATATCCTATAGAATGCAGAAAGCTGCATGATTTTGTTTCGAAATCATAAGATAGAAACCAGCTGATCGAAATTAGAACCCCAACAACGCGATCTGGTTATTAGTCATTTAAATTTGAAAGAACCGTTGAAGTGTGTTGACCTCCACTTGGACGTGAATACTCGATGAAACAGTTACGAGAACGTGACGATCGAAACCAGCCAACTAAACCGACAGCGGCAGTTGCCCGGCATGTCTCATGCGAGTGTTGAGTTGCTGCCGGCACTCCGTCTCGCGACCATTAGCTGGGGGTTTCCGTGGCAGCCTTTCATAGTCCCGCACATCAACTTGTGCCCCTTATTGCCGGGGCTTTACACGTTCAAGAACGTCTGAAGCCACATTAACGTCGACTGTCTGTCGATTACCGGAGCCTGGCTCCGGCGGTAGACGTCAAGCAAGCTGATAATGAGGCCCAACGTCAACGTCCTCTGCCACGATCGAGCGAGGACACGCATTAGAGCTGGGACGTAGTTTCCTATTCGGTTGGGGAGGGGGGGGGGCAATAACTCCAACTTAATAACGTTGAGAGAAAAGTGGGTTAAATTTGGGGCGAAACATGTTGTTTAGTATATTCATTGTCAGGCTGTCCGCTCTCAGCCCCCCCCCCCCCTTTACACCCCCGTGGTGGAGGCGAACTTGTCGCCAGATTACTCCAGCGTCTAATCTGGGACGCGGGCCCATTTCCCAGGCAGGCAGGGCCTGCGGTATACATCGGTCGGACCCCTGAGTCAATGAGGGAACCCCTGTGCCGGTCTGGGAATTTCAGTGCCTGAGAAGGGTCTTGTTTTGGCAAGGGGTCCAAATCGGTCAGTAGGAGTGTTCATGGGGCCATGCAGGTCCCGTATATCACATTAAGGACCCTAGCCCGCAGGGCCCGGCCCTCAAATATCAGTCGGCAATCGGCTTCGTGTCGGTCTGCGCCCTGGGGGCCACTTCCCAAGCAAGGACAGGGTCGGGACCCGCGACAGGCATTGGCCGGGACCCCTGAAGCATCGTGTGCCCCTGCGTCGGTCAGGCCCTCATGATGCCTAACGGAGGGCTCTAGATCGGCAAGGGACCTTGAATCGGCCAGGGTAACATTTGCTGAACAGGGAAAGGGGCGGGATCCCCAATACCAGAGGGCCTCTCGGGTTGGCCGAGGCCCTCTGACAACGAAAGTGGATATGATAGTTTACGACGAGAGGACAAAAGAAGGCAATGTGACAGTCAGGCCCGGTGACAGTGACTGTGACAGTCAGGCCCGGTGACAGTCAGAGGCTCCAATTCAAAACGGGGATCTCTCTATCCCATTTCAGCCAGGGCCCGTTTTGCTGAACTGGAGTCTCCGTGTCAGTTATTGGACACACCCGGCGGTAAGGGATCTTTGTGCGTCAATGAGCGCTCCTGCTGTCTATCCGGGGCTGAATGCTCGATTCAAGGGACCCCAGCGTCAGGCTGGCGACCAATGCATGACTGATTCCTCTCATAGGCGCAGGGAAGGGGAGGGGCAAGCTCAGGGCGCACTTCAGAAACTTTTTTTCTGGAAAGCAAGCCCGATGATCGGGGGGAGGGCTAGAGATGGAGGCTGTTAACGGTCTTCATTAAGGTTTCATGGCTGCTATGCTATATATGCAACTAGAGCTGTTTCTCACTGCTGCACAGTATTTCCTCATTTATGTCACTCGGCAAATAAGGCTATCCAGCCTCCCAAGATTATTCGTCCATTTCAACAGTCTTTCCTGGGGACACGAAATTCCACGAGCGGGTAAGCATTTCGCGCCATTGAAGAGGCTTCACAGGGTAAATGCCCAAATATAGCCCGGACATAGGCTGGTGAGAATCTTGAATGTGAATCGATGGCTCACAGTGCGGTAGATTTTTTCACGCGCCTTTATTTCGCTGGCTGTTTTTCAAGAGATCGAAGTCTGTAGCATTGTAGCATCTGTAGCATTGTCAAGGCTTGTAGCATTTTGGGCGGAAACAATCTCGAAGCTTCAAACTGCCAAAAATAATGTGGCAAAGTCCGTACAACCGGAGATTCTCCTTTAACATCTAAGTCGCAGACAGAAGGTCCCTCTGTCATATATTATTTTTCTGAGCCTCGCTCCTGTCCGCCGCGGTGGCCACTTCCTGACTCGGATGTCTCCCGCATGGACTGGATTGGACTGACGAGAGATGACAGAGAGAGAGCAGAGAGAGAGCAGAGAGAGCGAGAGAGAGAGAGAGAGAGAGAGAGAGAGAGAGAGGGAGAGAGAGAGAGAGAGAGAGAGAGAGAGAGAGAGAGAGAGGAGAGAGAGAGAGAGAGAGGAGAGGAGAGAGAGAGAGAGAGAGAGAGAGAGAGAGAGAGAGAGAGAGAGAGAGAGAGAGAGAGAGAGAGAGAGAGAGAAGGGAGAGAGAGAGAGATGAGAGAGAGAGAGAGAGAGAGAGAGAGACGAGGAGAGCCACGAGGAGAGAGAGAGAGAGAGAGATAGAGAAGAGACGAGAGAGAGAGAGAGAGG